ACCCATATTTACAAAATAAAATATTTTATATTCTATTCTATTCATCTTTAACACTAGTTAAAGATTGAACATAATAACAATATTTGTTCGCACCTTACTGCGGGTTCAAATCGTGACCAGTACACTACCGACGTGAACCACTCCTAACACAAGCAATTTAGCTTAGCGGGAGGGGTTAACGGGAATACTAGTAATTTCAGTTGCTAGTAGACCTATTAAAAAAAAACAAAAAAAAACTGGCCGACATACAATATTATACTATTTTAGCTTCATAATAAACAATGTGTTGGTCACGTTTTTTAGACCTCTATAATCAAACGTACGTTAAGAATACACATAAACCTTTATAATTCATACATATATACATACATCTACAACATGAACAAATTTTGAAATCATATGTTTCCATTGTCTGCTTCACTGAAATCTCCCAATAGGGATTAACAACTTTTATTGTTTAACAAAAACCCGTCAAAGAATTAATAATATTAATAAGAAAAAAAACACTGTCTGGTCAAAATTTGCGGTACTGATTTGTCTCTCTATGACTATAATGGGTTCGATTCGATCAAAACATCAGAAAACCAAAAAAGTTACGTAGGTACTACACTAATAATAACGCCCAATATGTAAACCTAATACGTATACAAGTCGCGAAAGTTAAAATTACCCCAGCCGTTTGCTCTAACGAAGAATTTAATAATCACTTACCCAACCGCGGGTATTTCTACAATTTCATTGCAGCAAAAGCGCCAAAATGTAAAATTGGAACCCATTAACTTGAAACTTTAGCCTTTGAACTGCAACGGCCGGTAACAAAACATATTTGTACTGTTTTTGGTATCTTCGGTACACTTTACGGTGTACCTCGCTTTTGTATGCTTTGCATTTTCTAGCGAATGTTTTGGAAGAAGTCTGAAGTGAATAGAGCTGCTGTGGAGCTGAATTCATTTGGCTTGGGGTTCGTTTATAAATTTATTATTTGTAAGGTAAGTGGTTATTGTAGCAAAGAGATGTTTCTTGGTTTTTGGCATTTTAGTAAAATAAAAAAAAAGCCAGGTGTTAAAACGGTTAAGTCCACATAAATCAAACAGTTTTTTTTTAATCAAGCATAATTTTATGCAAATGTTTGGGATTTTGGATCACTCAAATTTATTTACTGCAATAGATGGGATAACGAGGTCTTGTGCTCGACAGGCGTTAATAGAGTCCCATATTGAAAATTATTGGACGATATCTTGGAGCAAAATGTTTTTTTCAAATCTGACAGTTAATGTGAACATCATTCACCACTAGCTAACAGCAACAGGCAAGATTGACGTTAAAATCATCCACTTCAAACAGAAAGCTGACGACTCGATTATTGCATTAATAGATACTACAAACCAACCGAAAATGGCCTTGACTGTGTAGAATCAATAGACACTGAACCTAGGTGCAAGTTATTCTTTCTGTGAAGCTGTAATTCTCCAGAAGGAGACCGCTGAACGGGATCGGAAGAGGGCCGACCCCAAGCATAGAGGACGTCGGCGCCGATAACAGCCGTCAACGGGGCCGCAAGCTGCCGGAGGGAGGGGACCTCTGGTTGCAGATTAACTGCTGTGGTAGGCGATAGGATGGCGGTGGATTTTTTTTAGCCCCGATAGGCGGGAGAAGCCCGCAGCTTCCCCGGGATAGGGCTTTGTTGGCGCGGCGTCGATCCGGGGGGGCTGGAATAACATGGTCCGGGTGGTCCTTCTTGGAGTGAGCCTGAGTCCGGCCATCGGGGTGATTTTTAATGGCAACACCACATACTCCTGGCTCCTACATCTCCAAGAAGCCAGAGATCTGAAGGGATTTTCCACCCCGTCAACAAAAACAAAAATAGTGCAAGTTATTCTAAAAACGGGATTTGAAATCTAACATTTGTTGTTATTATTCCAGATATTTGATCTAACTACTTATAGTTAAAAAGAATCACATCATCAATTTGAGTCTTTTAGTGGGGTATGGAGACGTGACTTAAGAAAAAAAATAGGTACTGTTACAAGAATAAAATAATGACGTATTAAACATTGGGTATTAAACACTCTCCAGCGCGTCGTGATCCAGCGGATAACAATAAAATGAGATTTTACACAAAAATGCAAAGCTTGAGTTGCAAGCGTTCATGGGCGGCGGTAGTCGCTTTCCATCAGCTGACCCGTCTGCTCGTTTGCCCCCCCTTCCAAAAAAAAACACCACAAAATTGCATTATTATTTCGGTCTTGATTTAACTGAATTCCCTTGTCTCTCTTCGTTCCTTTTTTTTTATGCCAATTGTATACGTAACCCCGAAAGTGTTTTTTTTTTCAGCACGTTTCGGCTTAATAATTGAAGATACTAGCTATTTTATTCCCACATTTTATTCACTTTTAACCGTACCTTCACATATCAGTGGTACCATCTCGTAATATCCAGTTCTATACGGAACCGGATTGTTTCCTAACTAATGAGTGCCGTAATTACGACTGAACGAGATGCGTGGAGGTAATTGACGCTCAATGTGTTTGTGTGTGTGTTTCAAAGGATTTCACGTCGATGAAAGAGGAAAATGGAACCTGAGATGGTGTTAATGAAATTTATACAGGAAAAGAAACTATATTACTTTTGTATTAATACTTAATGTAGAGAATATCAATGGAATGAACATTTTAAGGATTTTGTGACAGCATTTTTTTTTTGTAGAATAGAGCAAATGAGCAGACGGTTGACTTGATCGTAAGTAACTACCACCACCTAAGGATACCCGCAACTCAAGATTCACAAGTAGGTTGCTACCCTTTGAGCCTCCTCCCCTCCAGAAATAGGGAGGGTAGGACACTGGTAATTTGACTGCACAGATTTGGCGTAGTGGTTCAAGCGATCGTCACGTCGCCTCCTACTGCGCTGGGTGTTGTGGTTTCAATCCCCACATGGGACAATACTTTGTGTATTCTACAAATTGTTGTTCTGGATTTGGGTGTTCTTTGTATCCGTTTCATCTATGATTATAAAGGCACCCGCGACAGGTCATCTTCGTAATGCGAGCGTTCTTTTTAAAAGAAAAAACTCGTCACTCGGTGGAAGCAACGAAAGCCATTATTAAACATCGAAATTTCTATGAGGCCGTGGTATCCCCACGGTCGAGCCGTCCATACGTGCCGAACTATGACTCTCCCACGGCATCACTCCAACAATTGTAGCAATGAAAACACGTAGATATCTATTTGTATTTCTTACTTGTTATTATTGTATCGCCAGGTATCTAATATGCATAATCTGTGGACCTTTACACACTAAACAGACGTGGGAAATTATCGGAATCCGATTTTCGTGATGAAGAATTTAGTAAGTTATTTATCAAACCAAGATAATATGAACTTAACGTGGCTTACGTAACGTGGCTTAGAAAAATAAAACTATTGTAGTTTTTATCTGAATATGCATGTATATAAGTTAGTTAATACAAAACAATGTAAGTATAAATCTAACTGACGAACTGAGTGTACCAAAAGGGACGCAATAATTTTTAAATAAATTAGTTTAAATCACAGCCAAAATTGACGTGGTTAAGGTCGCGGGAAGCCGTAAAACGCGGGCAGCACAGAACCAGTTGTTGTGGTGAATGTTGGAAGATGATTATGTCTAGCAGTGGACGTATTTGAGCTGAGATGACGATGATGAGAACCAATATTTGTATAGAACCAAAAACCTTTGAAGTTTACATTTGCAAAGACAGGAAATTAATAAAAATGCTTTTCGATAAGAATATAACCGTTATTGAATATACACAGTCGTCTGTACTTTGACAATACCAGTTCTTAATATATTTGAAATGAAACATTACAATTCATGAAATTATTTATGACTACGAAGAAAAAAATATCATTGTGTAATCGTTGTTATGTCTTAATTTATCAATTGTAAGAAATATTAAAAAAAGAGAATTCAAGTTACCAGAGATTTAAACTTAACTGTTTCATAAGTCTAAATTATATAATGTTGTACAATTTTCAAATTCAATTGGGTCTCTTCCTTATTGTACATTCATCAAATTTTTATTTTATGCCTAATTTATCTCGATTAGAGTTTTAGTTTTTTCATTCTAACCGTAATATATCTGACTGGCTGATACTGGGAAATAAAGAAAAGAATTAAAAATTAACCTTATTCAGCCTTACAATGACACCATAAAGTTTAATTATTTTCTGGCAAAATTAACTTAGTTCGAACACATACCACGTAAATAAAATGACAGTATAGAAATAAAAAAATAAAACTAGCAATTTTAATTCAACCGAAAGATGTATTGAATACTTAAATAAATAATGTAGAACATAAAGTATAAGTAACATGATCAAGAAAAATCTAGATACGCTAACAGTAACCTAGAATAGAATAATAAAGAATAGAAATCAATGGAATAAACAAAAAACACACGGCACAATTAATTTACAGTAACAGAAAACCGTTGCAATCTTAATAAAAAGCATTTATATTAAGCACAAACAATACAATTAACTAATGACATCTGCAGACTACCAAACTTTAATAGCACAATTAATATATTAGTTTCAACATAATATCATTTATTTATATATTCAGTATTCATATAATCTGATCTATCTACTCTACTCCATTTAAATCTTTGAATTATTAGTTATCTAAAAGTTGGTAAGTTATTTTGCTAGTATATAGTTCTAGTTTTTGTTTGAAATTAATATTTAGTAGTTTAAATACTGTAAGGAAGTTGGAACAAGTTTATTCATGGGTCTAAGGAATGCTGTTAGTAGTTTTCTTTGAATTCTTCGACCCAAAATAATAAAGCTTATGTTTTTGTGTTAAAAACTATAAAATTAAGAATATTTAATAGCTAAAACCCTACAAATTATATCATTATTTGCATAACCTAAGGTAACAATAGAAATAAACTAAAAATAAAGTAAGTCACAGTGACGAAACAAAGAAATAGAAATGAAAGCTTCAAGAAAATTTTCTTTTCACTTTCTTAAAACTGGTTTCCAAGAAATATTATTCAACCCATGGAATTGTCTTTTCAGATCCTTGCCATCGGCCCATTTGGAGTCCAAATAACTATCATCTTCATCCTGCTCCAGTTTCTTCCACTCTTCTTGCTTTCTGTACGCGTGTAGCATAAGTTGCTTACGCTCATCTTCTGACATAACAGGTTCTCTGCCTGGAGCACCTTCTGAGTTAGGGGTGATTTTTACAGTCACCTTGGTTTTGTTGTTTTTACCTGAAATTAAATTATAAAATACCATGAATAGTTGATGATAAAATTTAGGTTTTCTATTCTTTGTAAGCCAACAGACGGATAGTAAGTGACTACCGTCGCCCAAGTACATACTAAAGAGTCATAAACATGTTGCCGCCCTTCGAGTCCCTTCCCCAGAATCAAAGGGAAAGGGATTGTTTAAGTTTCGGTAACTTCACTCACTCGGTGAAAAGGAATGAAACATCTACACTGACTGCATGGATGGTGTAGTGGTTTGAGCGGTCGCCACGCTGCTTACTACAACGCCGAGTGTTGTGGGTCCGATCCCCATATGGGACGACACTTTGTTTAATCAAAAAAATGTTGTTTTGAGTCTGGGTATTCTTTGTATTCATTTCATGTATGTTTGTGAGGTCCCCAGCGACATAGGATATATATTATGCTTAAAGCGGGTGTAGTCTTTAAAACAAGAACAAAAAAAAATAACTACTTAACACCGGTTTTCTGTGAGGCCGTGGTATTACTACTTGGAACCTGGCCTGTATGTGCCTAAGCATGACTCTTCCACAATTATTAAGATCATTTATTTTGCACTTTCTTAAATACAAAGTTAAAATTACTGTAATGAACGTAAAATTGATGTTAATATTTAACAATATGTCAACTAAAAAAAGAATTTTGTTTTAGTTCAAAAGAGATCGAGTTGTTTTAGGTCAAAATCAAGCAATAAGGTAGCACACAAGACGCACACTTATAAAGAACCGTTTAAAAATAAAAAACTTAATATAAGGTTACTTAAATTGGTTTAAGAAAAAACTTACTTTACATAAAAAACATTTATCCGTAAGGATCCTTACCCAAATGATCTTTCAGTTTATTGCCACTAATGAACTTCTTGCCGCAAGCCCACAAGCAAGCTCTAGTCGGGTCTATCACTTCCGTTGAAGCATGAGTACCAGTCAAATCTTCAACATTGTCCAATTCCATGCGAACAGGATCATGAGGTGGAAGCCCTCCGGGAAAAACGATCTTGGTTGCTCCTCGAAGCTCATCTAGAGCTCGCGCCACATCCTTTTGAGTGAGACATTTACGAAGATCCACCTGAAAGTAAAAAAATAGGACTCTTGAATCATCATGAAATTCTTCAAACTGTATTTTTTTAGCACAATTCAACAATCATTTTCACTTTAATGTCATCGGTATTGCAAAAGCCAAAATGGGTTTGTATGAACCAATTCGGTTTTGACTGTTTTCACTTTTAGCTTAATAGTATTCCATAAAATCTACATTTCAATAATTTTTTTTAAATCACACATCTCACACATGACAGTCTAATCCTAAAATAAGTAGTCTAGATATAGTAGCAGTAGTAGTACTTAGATTTTTTTTTAAACATACATTTTATAGATATATATATATTTTTTCAATTAAGTGTTAAAATCAAAAGATGTTTTTTCTTTTTTTAGATTTACATAGTAGTGGTACTCTATTATGCATGTTGTGACACCTTCAAATGTTGCATCTAATGTTGCATGATGCATCTATTATATTAAGATTAATGCACACACAGATTTTAGTTAATAATATAACAACTACTGGCTATCCAATAAATAAATTGATAAATTACAAGCAAACAAAGAACAAAGGATCGTGCTCATAATACATTTTTTTTGTTCTGGGTGGCAATTGAAACCACGACTTCTTGCTTAGCAGACAGAATCAATAACTGCTGGACCAACAGTCCCGTAAAATGATGTAACACTCAGTGTTTCTGAATTGTTATATCCTTGAGTTGTAGTTTTTCAGAGGATTATAATAAGTATGTTTCTAAAGAAAAATTAAATACTTCATAAAGTTATTATCACTTCATAAAATGTTTTCGATACAATAACACTAACTTCATAATTACTATTAAATACTTAATATTTTAACTTATCAAGTTCACTAATAACTTGGAATAAAATATGTATGGAAAATACGGTAATCATCGCAATTTATATTCCATTTTAATTACTTACATGTTTCTTACTAATAAATTCTTTGGCGTCTTCAGAAGCTTTCTTCATCACATCTTGCATGTTAGCTGGAGGGGCAAGCCCGCAGCGGCGTCCCATATCATCTTTACAGAATTCGTAATTTGGTGGAGCACAGCGCTTGGCCCAAGGGTCTTCAAGTTTTAACTCTTTGATCTGAAATTACACAATAATTATGTTTATACACACGTTATATCAGCTTGAACATTATTCAATTAACGCTAAATTTCCATTAAATTTTGCGACGTCATTGCGACATAACCCGAGATCACAATAAAACTAAGACACATCACACACATCATCACATCAACAGCCTTTAATAGTCCACTGCTGAACATAGGTCTTTCCTTAGAAAGGAGGTTTTGGCCTACTACACCACGCTGACACCAGACAGGTTGATATAGGGTTTATGTCAAGTTCCGACAGCTTGCTCCAAAGCCTGTCGGCGCTGCGTCTGCCCTAGGGCGACTTTTGCCCAATTTGGGTGGACCCAGCGTCGCGACAAGACGGCTGTACACGGGGGTTGTCCGGTCCATGGCACTATACGGTGCACCGGTGTGGGCGGCGGCTCTGACCGCCCAGAATAGGGCACGCCTCTGGCGCCCTCAGAGGGTATTGGCGGGCGGAGAGCGGATTTCGCCCTCCGCCCGAAGACGTGCGCGAGTGGCCGAAGCCGCTCGCCGAGCCACGATGGCTCGTTGGTCGTTCCGGCTGGAGACTCCACGCGCTGGCTTCGCCGCCGTGGAGGCTCTAGCCGGTCATCGCCGAGTGGGCAGGGCGGCAGCACGGGACCCTTACCTTCCGGCTGATACAGGTGCTTTCCGGGCACGGTTGCTTCGGAAAGTACCTGCACTCGGTCGCTAGGAGGGAACTGAGTCCCGCCTGCCACCACTGCGACTGCAGTGAGGACTCGGCCCAGCACACGCTGGCGGTCTGCCCCGCATGGGCGATGCAGCGCCGGGCCCTCACTGCAATCATCGGAGTGGATTTCTCGCTACCGGCCGTAGTACGCTCCATGGCCGGTAGCGACAGTTGTTTCACCGCGGTCGCAACCTTCTGCGAGGAAGTAATCTCGCAGAAGGAGGCAGCGGAGAAGGCCCGTGTGGTTTTAGTCGGTCCGAGTCCGACACACCATCCCACCGCAACGGGTGTCGGGGTGACGGTCCGAGGGGATTTCCACACATTAAAAAAAAAAAGGGTTTATGTCAAGTTTTCCTTCTTTTTGCAGTGTGGTGTCCTGCGTTGTTTTGCGCCCTTAGTCGGCTCTTGCGACACCCACGGGATGAATTGGTGTAGTGACATTCCGTATTCTTAATGACAATCACAATAAAATTAGACACAGGAATTATGAGGATAAAAAAATGAACCATATTTCTTAACACGACAATAAATAAACTTCCTTCTTAATATAAGTAGATAGTATTTATTAGCGACCTTATTAAAACATATTTGAGCTACTGAGTTTGAATTTCATTTGACTCTTGTTAGATTAACAAGTGAAAATAGTATGACCAAAGCCTAACTTAATATTAATATAACTTGATATTACTTAATATCGAAACTTAAGGAGTAAGTAAGTTACTTAGTAAATAGTTTCAATGATATTAATTATAATCTGAATTGTCAAAGAAATTAAGTTTGAAATTGGCTGTCAGTTCTTTCAATTGTTCCTTTTTCAAGTCTAGTAAAGTTTTTTGTGCCTTATTCTTCAAATTTCGAGTAAAATATGATTCTTTCAATAAAGCTAAAGTAGGGCGAATATTTTCTCTTTTCATTAGACCTAATAATATCTCCTATTTAAGAGCTACGTTTCGGCACCAATGGGCCAACATCGATTGCTGTGATACCGTCGCCTCAAGAAAGCCGGTGTTAAGCAAGTCTTTCATTAATGTTCTAAAGAATGAGTGAGGTTACTGGAGCCCAACCCATCCCTCCCTCTGATTCTAGGGGGGGGGGGGGGGAGGGGCGTAAAATTCGGTAACGTACTTGTCATTCTTGAGTTCCAATTGTCCATAGTCACATACCATCAAGAGTCCCGTATGCTCGTTTGCCCCTTTGTCACTTCAAAGACCGCATCAAAACTAGCCCATACCTACTTACTATCTACTACTATAGTATCTACAAGTTCAACTAACATACTGATAGAAGGAATCCTCACCTGATCTTCATTCAAGCCCTGCATCTCAGGTGGTAAAAACGTCCCATGCTTCCAAAGTTCTTCAAACTCGTAACATATCCGAGTCACTTTTAGTCTTCCATTGAAAATCGCTGTTATATCATTCACTACTTCATCTACTTCTTTCTCCACGTCAGTTTCGTAGAGAAATTGGTTCTCATCTCCCCTTTTTACTAAGAGAATTACCATTTTCTTGGCTGTAAACTGATTTAATTCCAGTAAAATACCCAAACTTTGTCGCTGTTTGGCGTTATTGAACAAATATTTGGTTGCTATGATCGTTGCTATGGAACTGTTTCCATAGTTACGTAACACATGTTTATGCTATGAAGATTGGGTGATACGAAAGGGTTGTACTTGTAAAGTATATTTTAAGTTTGTGTTTAGATATGTCATCTAGGTTACAATCCAATCTACAAAGAGAGGCGGGATCGCATCATCACCTAGCCACGCATGCGCATTTAGTGGTGGAATAGCAGTCTTTAGCTTTGAGGTCTGAATGTATACGATCATCTCATTCAGCATCATATTTCCGAAATCTCGAACTTCAATAATATTTTGACTCTCTTTTATTTTGGCAAAAAATAACGATGAATCGCAAAGTTATCCATTATCAACGAAATTCGGTCGATATTCGCTTGTTGTTGAAAGATTTACAAAATAAAATGCCACTATAGTATCATTTTTATATCGATGTCTGCCAATCGATTCCAAGTAATACAGAGATGTAATCGATACCCTTCATTACTTGGGATCATTCTCGTTACATTTGTAATCAATTGGAAACATTTCATTACTCTAATGGTGGCTATCAGAGTTTCGAGCTTGCATATTGTGTAAATCTATCTGTCATCAGATAATAATATTATCTGAATTAAAATTTTGCGTTATTTATTTTCTGAATATGCGTGAAGCTTCATATTGATTATTGTCAAAGAGGTTACGGAGCGCGCACGTCCTTCGGGGACAGGAAGGGAACATCGGGGTTCCCACATGGGTGGTATCCGAGGGGAGATCTGTATAGGAAAAAAAGAAAAAAGGTGAACATAGGCAGCAGTATTTTCATTCTATCAGGGAACCCGTCTGATTGTTTACCCTTTACGGTATAAAATGATCCGGTGATTTCAGAAGACAATTTATTTAAAATTGACAAGCAAATCTCGTTAATTTTAAAATATAATAACTCGTATAAGAAATAATGACTTGTATAAAAGTCATTTTTTTTTTTATATTCTACCACATTCACACAACGCCATCTAGCCCCAAACTAAGCCGAGCTTGTACTATGGGTACTAGACAACTGATATAAATACATAAATACTTTTTTTTTTTTGTAAATACATACATATTATACATAGAAACACCCAGACCAAATCAAACATTAAATGTTTATGACACAAATGTTTGACTTGAGCGGGAATCGAACCCACGACCTTTGGAATAGCAGTCCGTTACACAAACCACTACACCATCCGGTCGCTAAATTGCTCTGTAAATACAAAGATGGGTCGAGACAGATAACCAAGATTAACAGGCATATTTGACGTAAAAGTGGAAAATAAATTGTGAAAATCTGGATACACTGTAGGGTTGTCTTTTATCTAAAATCAACATTTCCGCACCATCCTAAAGTAGACTGGCAGAAATGCCTGTGGCATTGAGACTGCCATTATACATTTTCTAATAACATTAAGAATTATATAAATAAATAAAAAATAAAATAAAATACGACCGACAATCAACAGCATATATTAAAGAAATAACGATAGCTATTATTATCTCATCTCTATAATAATATATTGTTGGTAAAATTAAACTTTTCCGTTGTTTTCGATGGAATCATTGCATTGCAAAACTTGCAATTTTTTTAATAATAACCTTACAGAAGAACTTATACGCTTTAGCACTGCCCCGCATGGGTGTCCTGGTCCACCGAATCGAATGAGATTTGTGCCCGCAAGAAATAATTACTGCCATGCTGGTGGGTCAGGAAGGCTATTTCGCAGTGGTCTCTTTCTATGACGCTGTGCTCCATGAAGAGACCGCTGAATGGGATAAGGAGAGTCCCGATCCCGAGCGTAGAAGACGTCGGCGGCGATATTAGCCACCGCGGGCCGCCAGAGAGTAGTGATCTCTGACGGCAGATATTGCATTTACATATATTATAGAAAGAGAATGAAAAATTATAAACTATTGTATTAAATATTTGCAAGATATTTATAATGTACACTGTGAATGTATCTATACTCTGTTTGTATGATACAATAAGAAGTGTCCAGTACCACCGTACTTTATGTATTTTTAATAACATTATTTCAGATGTTATGAATAATCAACGTAAATCTTGACAAAGAAACAAAAATATCCCAATGACAAAGAAGAAAATCAATATAGAAAGTTTAAAATTGCCAAGAAAAGTGTATTACTGTAAAATGAGTTACGAGATACATATTTTCCTCTCGGGTAGTTTCAATCAAAACAAAAAGCTACAATCTCTCATTAACTTTATATACCAACTAGTGAACAAAAACAGTTGTCAGTGTATTAGTTTTAGCAAAATTTTCATGTATGTAGGTTGACGTTTACATTAATTTATACCACACCCACAAGAAAGTTCCACAACAATATCAAAATGAATTCCGTAACCGCAACACACACTAATTATAAGTACAGTGGCATACACAACCTCAGTGAAACACACAGTGTAACCGCAGTGAAATTAATTCCGTCAATGAGGGCACAACTCGATGTGTAGTAACACAATACTGCCTATTGTGATCTGAAGAGTAATAACTCTTGAAACTTGAAGTAGGATTCAATTAATTGTAGCTACTACGTACTTGTTCTATTATTTATCGTGTATTTTGAAATGGTTTTAAATGCTTTTGTATTTTTTTTTTATCCGTGTGGTGACGGATTAAGAATACGGAATGTCACCACGCCTATTCATCCCGTGAGTCTCGTAAGAGCCGACTAAGGGACTAAACTACAAGACAACAAGCAAAGAGAAGGAATACTTCAAACAAACCCTATACCAAGAAGTCTGGCCAGCGTGGTATAGTAGGCCAAAACCTCCTTTCTAAGGAGAGGCCTATGTCTAGCTGTGGACTATTATAGGCTGTTGATTGATTGATTGATGATTTTCTGTTTATTTGATTTTTTATTGATATATAGATTTCTTTCGTTCTTAAAAAATAATACGGCTCGGGAATAAGTTATTAAATATTTTTGATATTTTTTTTAACTTCAGGAGATAAGTAAATAAAATTGGCCGCGTTATTTCTTTGGAGAGCCATGCTTCAGCACGTATGCGATGGCTATATCAAACTTGTGTATTTTAATTGTATATTTATAGCAGCGTTAGTCACTTACCATCTGGTGAGACACTTGCTCGTTTGTTAAAAATCGGCTTTAGATTCCATTTTTAAATATTTTGAGGACTGTACAAATTAAAATTCATCACAAAACTTTTTTTAATCAGTAGCTAATCTTGAACGAAACCAGTTTGACATTATTCACAGTTTATGGGAAAAAAAGAAATTTAATTATAGTATGATGTATTATCGGGTCCGGACATTTATCGGTTCACTGGGCACCTTCCGGTACATTAAATCATCTGACCTCCGGTCTGTACCATTTCGATACTTCTTGTTTATTTTTATATCAGTGTGTATATATAGGCCGTATATTTGGGCTACTTTTGTCTATGCTTACGTCAGTGACACACACACACACACACGCAATGACATCACATTTCCCCAAGACTTCTTAGAGACTGAAAAAGATAAATGAATAAAGTATTTGGATTTGGCCCACGACATTATGGACATGTGGGATGTGAATTCGGCAATTATTAAACCGATAGTCATATCAGCTCATGGATTGATTGCTAAGAGCCTCGACCGATACCTCGAGAGGCTCACTTTAGGAAGCTGAGTTAAAAACCTAAGATGCAGAAAGTTTTTGTCTTTACAACCCTAACCATCGGTAGCATCACGTAGAAAAACAGTTATATATATCAAGAAGATATGTTCTCTTATACATATATATTTTATAAATCCATATCCAGACATACTGTCCGGACATACGAACGTACTGCGTAACTAAATAAAATATGCGAGTAGAGTAATGTGACATCTCAAACGTTATAGCAAACTTAGGGCAATGTTGACACATGCCATTAACAAATCCGTTTTATGTTTATCGTTGAATTGCGTAGTATTCTGGATTAGCTATTATTAAATATAGCGAGAACGCCCGGGGACGCTCGACAGAAGTGATAACTTAAACTAATCTAAGTTGAACTATTTAATATTGAAATTGTTGTGTTTAACTTGAGAAAAGTTTAGGTTATTACTTAAATTTTATGTAAAGCGTCTATCCGAAAAACGGCTAGCACTTTAGAGTTACAGTGGGTTAGAGTGAGAGAGAAGGGCCTGCCTACCACTGCCGTATGCGTGAGAGAAAGGGAAGCCAGACAGACTGGCACCGTAACGCGTTACGTAACGAAACGGTTTACTTCACTTTATCACTTCAAAAAGAAGGAAAAAAAATTGGATCTAATTACATATATACTATAGCTAAATATCCAGATTAGGTATCAGCATACAGAATCACTTAATACTAGATTATCAGTTTTAATTAACGAATACCTGTTAGACAGAAGATTGCCGCCAAAATATTCAAATTTCACAATATTGCTTTCGACTGGTGTAACAGAACAGTCATGCAAAATTTGATAAGAATAGTAACGTAAAAGTGACAAGCGCCAAGAGCAGGGTTCCTTAAAGTATTCTTTAACAAACTTCGGCGATTCTAGTTAGTAAATGTATACTTGCTTCATCTTCATAATCAGCCTATCGCAATCCACTGCTGGAGATAGGCCTCTCCTATTGCACGCCACTTAGATAGATTTTCGGCTTCTCGCATCCAGCTCCTGCCAGCCATCTTGCGCAAATCGTCACTCCACCTGCTTACTACTTACTCTTGCATGTTTGACCTGAATATACAGAAGTATTACCATGTATACTCTAGTTTAATATCTTATTAGATGAGTTTCATTTATAATAATCCATGCAGTATTTTTTTTTTCCAATCAAAACATGACCCTTCTAGTATCTAAAAAACCCTGATAAAAGCTAGCCTAAAAATATATATACTGTTCACTTTATAGCTATGTTACGTTCACC